AGGTTTTAAAATAATTTTACATAAAAATTATATATATATATATTTTTTATATTTTTAAGTTCTTTAATATTTATACGAAAATTTCTATGTTATGCATCAAATTATTCTCTTCACCTTCAAGATATGCAAACCTTTTAAAATCTGTTGAGGACAAAAAAAATAATATATATAAACCGTTAAGAATATAACCAGATCTTAAAAAAAGTCACGAAATTATAATTATCGGATGGTATTATATTATATATACTTGATGAATATAATTGAAAAACACATTCTTTTTATTAAATTTACATACTATGTCAAATGATCAACGAAATAACTTGAGGTTATAAGAAAACTAACGGGTCTTGATTAATCCACTCTTATTGATAATATTAAATATAAGAATCTAATAATTTCAAATTGATTGAATGTTATAAGTTTCTGAGCATAAATTGAAAGTGCTAAAGAAAAAGCAGTCATTGGCACTCTTAAATAAAAGACATAGAACATAGAGATTTCTAATTATAGAGATTTCTTATGGTATACAAGTTTGTTCTTCTTCTTCAAAATATACCTATGACTGCTAAAGCCTTGCCGTATATTTCTTATTCAATTGTATTCTTAAACTTAATTTAAATGTAATATGTATATGAATGAGTAAAGAAAGAACTAACCAACCGTACCGATGTCTTTGAATAAGTATTCATTTAGAATTTTGAATTATAGAATAAGAAACTCTCTTGAAATAAAAATGGATGTAGCAGTGAGAAAACGTTTCAAATCGAAAAAAAAAGAATTTTTAATCAAATAAATTAAAGGAAATAAAATACCAATAAAACAATATATCCATCATTAGTGGTCTTTGAAAACGACTATAGGCAATTGGCTAGGTAGTAGGGAGGTTATACCGGCGATCCCCCAAGCTATACACTTAGGCCTATAGGTTCATTGTGTTACCATATAATTAAAAACTCAAGGGTTAGAACCACTTAGAAAAACGAAGATAAACAAATTATTAAAAATAAAAATTACAAATTAAAGCAAACACTTATTAAAAAAAAAGATATATATAAATAAAAGATAAGATAAAAGATATATGTTGTTTGTTATTTTATATAAGATATAATTAAGAATTTTATGTCCAATGTCAAAAAATCTATTTAAAATAGAACTAGAAATGGTAATAGGAAATTTTTAAATACAAAAAATATTTTTCTAATGACCTCAATTTTTGGGCTGACGATATAGCTGTTTCGGATATCGTGGAATGATATAAATAAAATACAACTCAGTTTTTATTGATCGAAACTTCTTACCATAGCTTTATAAAATAGGAGAATAGAATTGATTTTAATATATATCAAGTAAACACTCAAACTCTAAATGATTCGATTATTATTTTTTTTTGTTTAGGAACGTGTAGAAAAGACTTCAGTCATCAGACTGAAAGAGTTCCAACTGAAAACACACTCTAGTAATCAGAGGATAAAACATAAGAAGTTTAATAATTGAATTTCCAAATTATCTAAGCTAGAAAGTCGGCAATTATTTTTGACTAACCATTTTTTTAGACTCCAAGACCGGATAGAGAGTATAATTATAATCTTTAAATAAAAATTTTGACTACAAATTTGTCATCAAGGAGTTTAGGACTTTTGGCTAGCTATTATTGAAAAGATTTATTATTCCTTGCAAATAAAAAACGTACAAGTATATTTTATATAGAATCCTATGTATGTACGAACCTATATGTACATAACACTATTGCAATAAAAAATTATATTTCTAGAATCCATTAAGTTGAACAAGTGTTAAACGTGTTCTATTCAAATAGGATATTCAATCATAGAAGTGAATTTATAAAAATATATTTTTAAGTCCAGCATATCTTCAGATCGAAATATAGATTGCTCTTGTGTCAAGAGCATGTAATATAGAGACAGTGGATGTATATAGCATCGACAGAATCAAACAATTTTTTGAGTTTGACTAAAAAATCCTTATCATTGGTCAATTAGCCTTTTTGTAGAAATAAATATTAAGTTTTGGTTACTAATAAATAATTATTAATAATTTCATTAATAAGTATTTTGCTATAAATAATAACAAATTTAAAAAATTAATAATAAAATTTAAGCAATTATAAGTAATAAAATTTTGAAAATGTCAAATAATATTTAAAAATTATAAATAATAAAATTTTAAAAATTATATATAATGAAATATAAAATATTATGCAAGTTTGAAAGTAAATAATATTAACTGAACAGAGAACCTTCTTCATTGAAACTGTGTTCACTAACAAAGTCTATACTGAATTACGCATTAGACATACTATATCATGGCTATATCTTTCAAGAGGGAATAGATGGCTTTTAATTATTAGTGATGAGAACTACTCTAATACTACTCTCTACTCTTTATACAATCATCTGTGCATGCAGACCCACTTTGAATGATTTTTTAATAGAAAATATATAGAAAACGCAAGAGTACATATCTGAGATGTTATGAGCCTTTTATAATAACATTATTATAAGTAAATAAATAAATGCTCAGCGTCAAACTAAAACTTCATTTTAAACATATATTTCCAATTGAATGAATATTAAATAATATATATTTAAAGATATACATATATGTATATCATTATTTTTAATATATAATATCAACCACTTTTGTACCAAAAAACTAGCCAAATTTTCTAGTGAACAATTCAAGTTTTTTAAACTTTACAAAAAAAGGCAATACCACAGCAGTAATAAGTAAAATCTCAAAAATAATCAGAAAAATCTTAATATCTGTACTCGAATTATGCTTGATATATGCAAAACAAATGCAGGAGTTCTACAAAATTTTTAATCAATTTTAATGTTTTTATAATAATTAGGGAATCACAATTTCAAGTAACAAGCTCCGCAATAGAGTGAGACCTACTTTACACTACAAACTTAAAGTTTCTTAGGAAAAGCACTAAGGTGTGCATTCTCAAGTAACAAGCTCGGTAACAGAGTAGGACCTACTTCACACTGCAAACTTGAGGTTTCATAGGGAAGAGCACTAAGGTGTGCATTCTCAAGCAGCAAGCTCGATAGCAGAATAATATCCACGTCATGTCTTTTATAGAAGAGTATTAAGAAGCTTTAATCAGAACTATGAGTGAAACATACCTATAAAGACAGTCAACTACAGCAATTTATGTGTGAGAATACGAGAATCTTTGCAATAACTCTGCTATTCCTTCAAATGATAGAAAAATAAAAGTTTGTGAGTAAAAATGTAAGGGACTTTTTTCTTTTCTTGGTTCAGCAGTTAATGAACATTATTAACACGTTTGGTGTGAAGTGCGTATAGCACAATGACAGTACAAAACGTTAGAGGAAGTAATCTATGTGACTCTATAACCCACTTCTTTACTCGAAATTGTGAGCACTACTATTAATAATAATTTTAAACAATACAAAAAAAAAAACATTTAATTAAAATTTCTTAGTTTTGTTTGTATTTGTCGGTTTTTTTTTTATATATATTAACTTTGCTTAAATATTCTACACGGTTTATAATTGAAAATTTTAAATATTGTTTCTGTATAAAAATAAATTATAATTACAGTGAAAAAAGAAATAATTAAAATTAATTTAAGAAATTTATAATTTACAAAGTTTTCAACTATTTAACGTGCCAAAACATTATTTTTTTATCGTCTTCTCTGTACTGTAAAAAATTATATTTGAATGTATCAAAAAATGAAGAATGCGTTTGTGGGTGGTGGTGGTGAAGTTTGTATTTGTAAAAAGCGTTAAAAAAATAGAGGCATGAATAATGCATTGTGGATGAAACGAGAACATTACAGCATATATATATGTTAATACATATGTTTATGGATATATAAACTAACATAAAATAAAAACTAACTTATATATTTAATTATTGTTTAATATATACATTTATTTATAAATAAATTTGTTTTTCATAGAATGGGAATTATTCATATTTATTAACTAATATTATACTTTTTTTGTTTTTTTTATTTTTTAATTATTGAATAACGCTAAGTTTTATTTTATGCTAAATTTGTAATTCTATATATATATATATATATATTATATATAATTTTATAATAACTTTAATTTATATATATAAATATAATTTATAGTTATTTGCAGTTTTCATTAGCAACTGCGGCTTCTACACGTTGCGCTCTTCACATACATACTCATTTATTTTAATAATAAATATCAATATTAATTAAAATTAAGTAATTTTTACTTGTAATAATTAAGATAATATACAATTTAACTTTTTCTATTATTATTTTTAAAATTATTATTACATTAATTTTTAAACACATATATATATACTTATATCTACATATATATATATATATGTATATATATATATGTATATGTATATATATAAAGCGATCTTGAAAATAAGATCTTATATAAATAAGCGAATATTTTTTTAATATTTTTTTTTATAGTTTTTAGTTTTATTTTATACAGACAACATTTTCGTTCATTATAAATTTTTAAAATATACATGCAATTTTAGAATATTAATAGTAAAAAAAATTAATAACGAAAATAAAACAAAAAATTTGAAGTATTTTCAAAGTATATATCAGCAATTTGTAAAATGACTACAAAAACATTAATTTAATTTTATTTTTAATCATTTATCATACATTTTTGTTTCTCGCTTAATTTGTTTCAATATTAAAAAATGTTTAAATTGTTAAATACACATTTTAAATGAATAAGCGTACATCAAAAGTATTGAATGTGTAATTGAATAGATGCACTTTTACAGAGAAGTCGCCTGTCTTCAAATTGTTAAGTACACCCCCTAATATGTTAGCCATGCAGTAGATATATTTTATCACAAGATATCGAACAGTTCTATGGTTTTCTTATATTTTACTTTTATGTTTATGTTTATGTTTATGTTTCATTTATGTAATTTTGCTTTTCTTTTTTGAATAATTAACTAAATGAATAATTATATTTTATATTTTATATTATTGGCAGCTGGTATTCAAATAAAATAAAATCAATCAAAACTCATCAGAAATGATGAATGAAATTTGTGAATTATATATGCTTAGTTTTGGATTGCCTTTTCTATGTTAAAGCTGCTAACCACCAACAGGTAAATTCGTCCTGTTCCAATTTTGAAAACATTTGCCATTCCTAATATTTCAGCAAATATTATTATTATAATTTATATTATAATTCATTATAATATTGCTAAAGCCACACGTGTGTGTGTGTATGTGAATGCTTTAGAAGAAATTAAGGAATATATTTGAAAATATTTTTATTTTTTGTTTTCCTTTTAGTTATTAATTATAATAGCAACAGTCGTATATTGTGTGACATTAGGCTGTTTAGTTTATAATAATTGTTAGCGCACTTAATAATATTTAATAAGAAATAGTTTGCCTAAATCGATTAAAATATTTTAATCTTCTTTTTGTTGCTCTTCTTTTTGTTGCTAGTTTTTACTTTTACTTTTTACTTTTTGCTTTTTGCCTTAAAAATACTATTAAACACGTCAATGACATATTTACGATTTTTGCAGCTCAACAAGCGTACTAAACATCATAGTCCACGGCCAGCCGCTATTTTCATAAATAGTAACCAAATTATTAATATCCTTTATTTTATTCTTAAATATTCTGCCACAGCATATAACATTTTCATTTTCACCTACAACCAATTTTTACAAGGTTTTATTTTATTTTCTTTTATTTAATTTTAACTTTTTAAATAGTTTTGATATATTTAATATTTAACCAATCAACATTCTGTAGTTATCTTTTTCACCTATTAATTGTTGCTGCGGCAGAAGAGGACGTATTGTTGGTTGCATTATTAGTGTTGCTTGTTGTTGCATTATTACTCGTGTTGTTGTTACTATTGCTATTATTGTTATTATTAATATTTATAGTATGACTGTTAATATTTTCTGCTTTAACATTTTCTATTGTCTTTACAACATCATTTGATGTTGCCATGTTGCACATTGTATCTGTTGCATCGGTAGCCGTCGTACGCATTGTTATTTGTTGCGATCCGCTTGTATTGTTACTATTATTGTTGTTGGTTGCATTTTGAGCTGTTGCTAGTACCGCGTTGTTTGTTGTTAGCTGCACTTGTGAGTTGCCAATTGCTGTTGTGAGTGGTACTGTTCGTACATTAGCAAATATTTGATTATTTCCAATACGTCCACGCAATAAGGCATGTGGTATGCCGCCAGGTCCGATCTGCATCTGCATTTGTCCGCTATTGTTTTTCTGTAATGGTTTCACATTTAACAAACTCGTATAAAGCACACGTTTATTGTTATCCGATGTTGTGACCGTCACATTTCCGGTATTTGTACCGGCTGTCTCGACATTTGTTGCACCAATAATGTTGAAAATACGTTCACGTTTTAATTTTTGTTGTGCATTTGTACCAGCGACTGCTGCTTTATTCAATATTAATGTTTGGTGCTGCTGCTGCTGGTGTTGTTGCTGTTGTGGATGTTGTGTAGCGGTTAATGTTTTTGTTTCCATAACGACGTTACTTTGTTGTACTGTACCACCTTGAGGTGTTAAATTCACCTTCATAGGGTGCAGTTCTTTGTATGTAATTTTTGGTGATACACCAGTAAGCGTTGTTTGACCTGCTGTTAATTGCTGCTGTGCGTCACTTGTTGTTGCTATTGTATAACTTGTATTATTGCTGCTGCCAATACCACCTGAGCCAGCACCAGAGTTGCTGCTAGTTAAAAAGATTTTATTGGCGACGTGCGATGATTGTGTTGTTATTATTGTTGGCTGCAAGCTATAGTTATGGTTTGCAGCAATTGCTGCTGAATTATGTTTCTGCTGTAACTCAGACACTAGAAGAGGCAACGAGGACATTTTAATTACTTTACCACCTTGCATTTGTATTTTCTGTAACTGATGAGTTGTAGTTGCTGTGGTCGAACTAGTCGTTGAATCCTGCAGTACTGGTGCATTTGCATTCGTACTACTATCATCATCTTGCTGCTGTTGCTGTTGTTGTTGTTGCTGCTGCTGCTGTTGTTGTTGTTGTATTTGCTGTAGGTGTTGTTTCGTTATTTGAATTTGATGTTGCGTTTGTGACTGTTGTGTTTGTGGTGCTATAATTTTCCGTTGAGAAAATTTACGATTCAACAGTAATTTGTTGTAGTCTAAAAATGTCACATTAATAGAAAAAATTTATTATTCCGATTTATATTAAAAATTTATATTTATAATTATAATTTTATTTATTTTATTATACAATTCTACGAAAATCGTTTCTAAACCAATATGATTCAATCATATAATGAATTACCTGTGCCTTCAGGACCATTAACCTGCCGTTTTTGGGTAGGTCTACTAGTCCAAACTATTTTATTTCCACTTCCCGTTAAAGCTGCACCTGTCTCTGCTATAGTGGTTAATACTCCAGTGACACTGTTATTAGGATTAGTTGTTGCAATTTGTCGCCACACGATTTGTGGTGTGTTTTGAGCATGTACTAATTGTTGTTGCTGCTGTTGCGTTAACTGTTGCGCATTACGCGCTGCTGTAGTTACAATTAGTGGTGATGATGAGGAGGATATATGTGCACCACTTCCTGCTGCACTTACATGCTGTATGCCACTTATATTGTGCAATGCAACTTGTTGTCCACTAGCGGTATTAATAATATTGACACTAGGTGTTGACGCTACAGATGATACTACAGCATTGCCGTCAATCGTTAAAATATTAGATGAGCTCGGTTGACCCACTACAGTTGTTTGTGTACCATCACTTTCAAGTTTCATATTTGATAGCGTTATTACAGCATTTGTGCTTAAGCTATTAGGAACTTGTGCAGCTGTTGTCAGATGCGTATTGGCTGTTGCAGCTGTAGAATTAGCATTCGATGGTGCCGCTTTTTGTATAAATATTTTTTGACCTGTAGAAACACCATCAGTTGTAGTGTAAATCATATGAGTACCAGCTGCTGATGAGCCAATGGGTGTAAGTGTTGGTTGTCGTATGTTTTGCGTTGCTGATGCACCCGTAGAATTGGTAACATACTGGGTAATGACAGGTGTAGATGATATATCACGTTGCATTTGCATTAAAAGTTGTCGGTGTTGTTGTTGCTGTTGCTGGTGTTGTTGCTGCTGCTGTTGTAGTTGCTGTAATTGCTGCACTGTTACATTTCTAAGTTGCGGTTGTTGAATTTGCAGGATCTGTTGTTGAACGGGTTGTTGTGTTGTTGCTGTATGCGTATTAGCCACAGTTATAATGTCGCTTAAAGTTGTAACTTCTGACAGTTGTTGTTGTTGTTGTTGTTGTTGCTGCTGCTGCGGCTGCTGTTGAGGAATTGAATTTTGTATAGTTTGTGGCAGTTGAAGAAGATTTGGTTGTGTAATTTGTTGTTGCTGTTGTTGTTGCGGTTGTGCTTTCGTTGTTTGTGTTGGTACCAGTTGTGGCGGAACTCCGTTTACAAAATTTTGTATGTTGTTGTTAACAGGTTGTACATTTGTTACTACAGAAGTTACTACAGAAGTGTTTGTTTCAGGAATAGTTAATAATGGAGGTTTCGTTTCTTCTTGTTTTGTTTCTAGATTAGCTTGCGCTACAATACTTTCATTTGGTTCAACTTTTTCTTCATTCTCTTCAGTTGCTGGTGTCTTTTGAATTTCACTTTTAAAGAATATATCATCATCCTTTACATCCCTCGAGTTCAAAATAGTAAAATTTGAACTACCAAAATCTTGTTTGCTTTGATTTCTTTCAATCTTTAATCGCGACTTATTGCGTAATTTTTTGTCATCTATGCAATCTAAAATTCCAGCTGCAACATCAACATCGGTAACTTCATCTACTGCCTCTCCATCTAATATTCCATTCCAGAAACTAGTTGCTTGATTTAGTGTCTTAATCTCATCAATTTGACATTCTTGTAATATGTTGTCAAGCATATTTTCATCAGTTTCATCACTATCATCCAGTAAATTGATGTCATTAAGTGAATCACCGCTAAGATTAAAGTCCATTCCTGAGTTTGAGTTACCCGTATTGCCTTCCGGACTTTTACTGCTACCACGAGTAAAATCGGAAACATACACGGGTTGCAACAGTTCTGTATCTGGCTCTAAATCGGCGTACTTGAAACTATTACTAACGAATAATGCATCATCACAATGAGTATCCCAAAATGAATTTGGTGCAGGTGCAGGTATTTTTCTTTCTTTATTATCGTCATCAATTATTGACTCCGCAGGAACGCGTAATAATTCTATTTCTACAGGGGTTTGTTGTGACCAGTCGACTAGCGGTGTTTGTTCATCGTTAAGTAACGGCACTTTACCAATACTATTATCCAATAACTCATCAGTCGGGGTTTTTGGTCTAAAGTGCAACCAATCTCTTCTGATCTCTGATAAAAGTTCGTTGCATATTTCTAAACGTTGACTTGAACTTGGTGATAAGCTTCCCATATAGTACTCATGATCTTCATTGTGATAGTCACTAGCGAAGCTTTCCAGTACAGGTTCTGTTTTCGTTGGTTGTGTAGTTTCTGTCACATGCCTCTTGTTCTCTAGATTTCTCAAACGTATCACATCAGCCACTTGGTTTAATGAAGGCGAATCATCATCATCATCATTGGATTCCAATTTAATCGATGAATTTACTATAGGATTTATTCCACTTGTTTCATTATTTTCAACTGGTTCCTTCTTAATAGTATGCCTAATGAGATTACTTAGCTGTTTTAAATTAACATTTTCTTCATCGTAAGGTACGTCAACTGACGATTCCACTCGCAGTCGTTGTATTGTGCTTAATGGTTCATTGGAATCATCAGCAGTATCAATCAACTCTTGTTTTATCTCTCTACCTATATCTGCAACTGTGGTATTTTCATTCTTTATCACATTAAATTTGTCGCTTAAGCTAACATTATTATTAATATTACTATTACTATTATTATTGGTGGTTGGGTTGATGCTATTTAGCACAACATTGTTCGTGCGATGGTTTGTCCGTTGCAGTTCTCCTGTTGCGATGCTTTGGTTTACATCCACAACAGTTTCTTCAGCAACGGCAACACCATTTTGATGTTCATACGATATTTTGGGTCGCTTATTACTTAAATTACGATCAACAGCTTCTGCCAAACGATGCAAAATGTGACGAGGTATGGGCTTAAAACTATCAGTTGATTTTTTACTTTCTTTATTACCAACTGAATTATGCTTAAGAATCCTAAATGTCGATCCTTTATTAAGACTGTTTGCATTATTAAGCCAATGCCTTCGGTTACGTTTTCGATGACGTTGTCTTCGTAATAAAAGGGCGGATGTATAATTTTTATCGCGGGTAATATTTTCATAATCTTCATCGATGTCTTCATCAAAATCAGCTTCAATTCCATCGTCTGCATTTGTCTGATCTGCCACTATTGTTTGATATACCTCTTCCGTATTTGGCTCAGTTTTAATGGAAACAGGTGGAACACTTGTATTTGGCGGTTCTTCTTTTACATTTTCATTGGGTAAGTCTATAACAGTTGGAGGCGAGGCGGATACATTAACTCTATTTACGCAGGATGTACTTTCTAATATTGTATAATCGAGTTGTGACCAGACATCATCAAAGTTAGTGGAAACTCGATCAATTATCACACGACCACCACGTCCAAGTCTACGACGTGCGAAACCAATGCAGCGTGGCCTATACATAAAAATCATTTATAGTTAATTGCTTATAATTAATAAAATTTAATATATATATTTATATACTTTGGATATCTTAACGACGTCAAGGTGAAGCGATAACGTGGATCACCAAATCCATGATTATCCTTCGATTCCCACGGCCAATTTCCAAGATGATCTTTAGGCTAAATATTTAAAATAATTAATATTGTTAGTACATTCAAGTCTTCCCAGTAGAATGTAGACATTTCTATAAAGTACCTTATGGTAATTACAAGACTGTTTTCTTCTAAATGCAAATGGAGCTTCCTCTTCGCTTTCAGAACCAGCTTTCTGCTGACCACTGCCGGCAGCGTATTCTTCTTCTTCTGTATCAAGATTTGATTCAATAGCGGCGGGTGACGAACTTTGACGATGTAGGTGATGTAAGTGAGGCAGATGACCGGTTATGGACGAGTTCCCCACTACACCTGACGTTACTGACGAAGGCATCATACCCACGCCAGCTAAATACTGTTGTTGAAGATGTTGCTGCTTATCTCGCGGCAATTTGTGTTTCCGTTTTTTATACTGACGTTTCTCTTTACGAATTCCTGTGCCACTAACATTTATTGAATCTGTATTTTATATAATATATATATTATTTGCAATTTCTTCTTTCACATATTTTAAAAATACTTCATTTTGTAATCAATGACACATACCAATTGCCAGATTTGATGAATTCAGGTACTGTGACGATGAATACAAATGTCCACTGCCCACATTGTTATTAACGTTGGCACTATAACCAGATGTCAGTACATTACCAATTCCACTTGATACAGGGCCTGTCGGTGTAGAACCAGCAGAAGATGAATGATGTGAGTATTGATTCGTATACAACGGTGTAAATGCGGGTCTAAAAATACATTTTTCATTAACGTAAAGAAACCAAATTAACTTGTATTTTTTTTTTTGTTTTTAAATAAAATTAATTATAACATACCGTGTTCTATATGTAGAACTAAACTCTGTCATTAGAGCACCACTAAAATCACGCACCTCTACCCGCTTTTCAAATATCTGTAAGGATAACTGTAGTTCTTCACGCTTTGTTACCTCACGTTTCCTGACCATTTCCAGCAACGTAGTGGCACGTTGAAGATCACGTCTGTGTGTATATTATTTTGATTTTTAATTATTATATATTATTTACATAAAAAATAAACAGTAAACGAACCTTAACTTAAGCATTTTTTCATAGGACACTTCATCATTTTTGCGGTTCTTGCGTGTTTGCATTTTTTCAGTACGACGACGAAATGCTAAGTACGGATTATTGGATGATGCACCCGGACGATTTTCGGTCTTAACAGTGAGTATTAGCGGATGTTGCTATTTTTTAAAGATATAAAGAACACATTTTAAATATAAACTTCAGTAAAACATATAATTTTTTTTTCTTTACCATTTTTAATCTTTTATTTAACCAGTAATCATACACAGCTATGCTGACTTCATCATCTTGCTTGAGGAGTCCTTTAGCTTCACTTAACGTAACAACTGTTTGACCTGAACTCTTTTCCAAACGATCCATCATTTGCTCAAATTTCAATGGACTTAAATCGAGACGCCTATTTTGGTTAACCCAAGCTTCATCGGAACTGTCCATATCATATTCAGGCACATCTTGCTCTAATCCGAGGGCTATTATATATAAATTTATATATAAGTATTTATTAAATAGCAGCTATTTAAGACAAAATCTTACGTTGCATGTGTATCAGCTGACGTGGCATTTTATAGTTGGGAGGATAACTGTTATCATAAAATATTTGGTCACATGTAAAAACTTCAGGTGTTGGTATTATAAGACCAGTACATATTGCTCGTTGTAAATGATGTTCCTATAAAATTCAATATCAAATTTAGATTTAATTTCCTTTATGATAGTTTTATTGACAATCTCTAATAATGCGAATTAACCAACAAGACTAAAAAAAAAATAATCTAATGGAAAAATAGTTTTCTTTACACATTTGAAACAAACTTGAGAATACAAGATGAACTTAATGTTTCGAATACAGTAATTAAAGGAATTAAATTTCTAAATAGTCTTTAAAATATGTATATATTTATTAAAAATGTCGATTTACTTCCTAGAATGGCTGGGTATACATATCAGACTCACTCCTTGAGTTCAAGACCAAGAGCCGTTGAGCATTCCCAAAAGGAACTATACTGGTTAACAATGTGAGTGAAAGGAATTACTTTAACTATCAAGATAGACAATACCTCAAGTCGATACCCGCATCTATATTACAATAAAACAAACTTCTTTAAAATTCTTTATCAAAGACTACAGAAAAACAAATTCTGATGCTTAACCCTTTCAAATCTTTAGATTTCCAAACTTTGAATCAAACTTCACATGGCTTCTAATAGATGGTCTGATATGTTTTTAGTTGAATGCAAAAAGTTACTTCTTTAATAGGATATATTTTCACCTAATTCTAATATAATCTCATCAACGTTTTCTTAACATTATTATACATATGTTATAAAATAATTTCTTAAGACCTTCAAAATACGGCCCAATTTTAAAGATCACTTCTTCATTCTTTCTTTTCTCTTCTTTAACTTCTCTTTTGTTTTTTTTTATCTAATCTCTTGTATCTTATCTATTTTCTTCTTTCTTATATTCTCTTCTCATTTTTAATATTCTTTCTTAAGCCTACTTCTAAGATTTACGAACAGATAGTAGTGGCTGGGGATCAGAACTGAATAATACGTCAGTTGCAATTCAAAGTTCAATTAGTATAATTTGATTCTGTTATCATTAACACGTGTTAATGTGCATTAGCTTAATATGGCACGTAATTCCTTCTACTTTGTTTATAGCCCTTATTTTTCCCTTATTAGTTTTCATTTTTTAATACCGCTATATAATATATTCAATGAATGTTTTTCTCTTCAAAATATTTATGTCCAATGTCCTATATATTCTTATTGACAGTCGTCATTGAAAATATTGAAAATTTGTGGTATTATTAGATTAACAAATCTAACACATCAAGATTAACAAATTTTGAATCTGTATAGAAAGGAATCTGTATAGAGGCATTTTAGTTTTAGTTCAGCTCCATTGAGGATATTTTTATCCTCGCGTTATTATCAGATGAAAGAACAAGCAGAATATGCGTTTTACTATCTAAACAGATGGCAGCATTGAGTCTAAAAAACTCGAAAATAAAAATTTTTTCCCGATAAAGATGAAAATATTTCATTTTAAAAGAGAACACAAAAAAATATATAGAAACCTATTTCCAGTAGCATATTTTGGTCACTAGGCACTGAGGGGGAAACCGCAACGTTATAGTGGATCCAATGCGACAGTCATGACTTGGAGGAGGATATTGGATATTTGATTAAAGAATACAAATTATTCATGGCGTGACATCGTTACGTTCTCTCATCTATTATGAGATGATATTATAGTTCGATACAATATAATAATAGAGACACTATGGTTTACCTAGGAGGACAGAATTACTTATTCATGGCGTGACATCGTAGCGTTCTCTCATCTATTATTTTAGATGATATTATAGTGCTTAACTATTCGCGGAGCACTCGAAGCTGGCTGACCTCACTAATTACTGGACATAGCAACTTCAAGTATCATCTCAAAAAGACAACTCTTGGTGAGGAAGACACTTGCAGACTATGTCTAGAAGAAAAGGAAACAGCGGTGCATATATTGTGCCAATGCCCAGCACTGGCAAGCAGGAGGAAGACTATCTTGGGATACCATTGGGTTGGTGATGACTTGGCAGGAGAAACCTCAAGCTAAATGAGCTGTTTGCATTAACAAATAATGTTGTTATGCGAACGGAAGCCATCCCAGCTTTAACTCAATAACAACATCCGAGAATCGAAAGACGAAAAAGAACCCAAGTAGTTTCGTGGTCTACTTCGACTAATCCTTCACTTCAGTGGGGCCACTTGTTGGACAGTGCGCTGTTCCAACGTCCCACCATATATATAGTTCGATTTAATATGTAATAGAGACTATATGCTTCTATGCCTAGGACAGAATTATGTGTACGTACTAAACACACTATACTGTATAAATATATGAGTATAAAAATTGATATTATGAGCGAGAGAGGAACTTTTGTAATTAAAATATAATTTTAAATGCAATTTTTATTTAATGAACTCTATGTAAGTTTATAACTTCTAAAAGCAATCTTAACCGCAAAAAAGTGTCTGATTAGTATTGTATAAATAGCTTCTATAGTTCTAAATAAAAGTTAAAGCAGAAGATTGTATCGGATAGTAATAAGTCTCAACTGACTTAATAGATTTATTTCATATAAATATTTTTACCACCAACACACTTACAAGAATTCTACATTAGTTCCAATTAGTTCTAGTATAGATTTAGTGTAAATTTAAAGAATTTTTTAATTTACATTTTATTAACATAATTAATAAAAAAAAAAAAATAAAAAAAATAATATCCCATTTAACGAAGCAATTGCATTCCAAACCAATGCCAACATACAACGCAGAAAAAATAAAACTTTTAATTAAATTTATTTTATTTATTTTTTTTACGATAAAACAATGTTTTAATATTTTTCGATTTAACAAAAGTAAACTAAGAAATGAATGGAATTGAGAGAAGAGTTACAGAAGAACAACAAATTTATAGGTCATTGCTATTACGGTAGTCACTATTCATATTGTAAGCATTGGCAACACTGAGAATTGATATTTTTAACCACTACTTCCTCCCCCGTCACAGCATTTTGAAAATTGTGTTCTATTAAAATAAAAATGGAAAAAAATCGTGAAAATTTCGTAGTTTCTTAATTAATTTGTTAATGTTAATTATTAGCTCAAGAGTTCAGGGATAAACTTAATTTCACTTTTGGCGATGAAGCTCCCACATTTCCAAATATAGATTGCTAGTACAATGAGTTGTGTAGCGGACGTCTTTCATTCAAGGAACGAGTTCATAGGGATTTTTGGAAAAGAATATTTTTTGCGGAAAACAGTATATATAAAATATTAGCATGCAAACAGTTGATTCTCGTTTAATCCTATATCATTGGCAAAGGTTCAACAAAATACATGTCATAAGATATAACAGATGATATATCATGGAAGTATACTATGCGTACTAGCCTAAGCAGACTGTGTTGTTGTTTCATGACATATCAAACTCAACAAAGGTTGTATTTTAAGCGAACTGTGGTATCATAACGAACCATTATTCGTGTTAAGTGGACTCTGTTGTGTAAACCCTCCAGTCCAACTTAACCTATGTATATCTAAACAAACGATTTTTTTCGAAAACCTGCTCATATAGCAACAAAGCTATTAGAACTTATAAGGCTCTAAATGGCAGAGAATAAAGTGCTTTAAGATGAGATCTAGGAATTACTACCGAAACTGGAATCCAAAAGAAACCAAAAAGGTTTCTACAGACACTGAAAAATTAAATGACTTACAACAAATCATAATCTGAATTTATTATTTATAGGGAAATCTTAATATTTGAAATGAAAGCAAATATTAAATTGATAAAATACTGGAGGGTGCTTGTAATACTTTTAAAAAACCCGAACCTAATTAGATGAAAATATGATGGAGAGCGCTAACAAAATTTTTCAAAAAGTAACACTTTCAACATAATTATATTTGTGAAAGAAACCTATCTGTGTAATCAAAACTCAAAATATGAAAGATTTGACGTTTTTGGAACTGCTATATAAAATCAAGGATAAAGTCTTCAATATTATTAATTTGAGCAAAATTAATAGAATTTTTCTTCAATCATATTACCAGAGAAGATGAATTCAATTTTGCGATGACAATTGGACATAAAATAACAATCAGTAAATTAGGTGCCATCTTTACTATTTTTCAGACATAAACCAAGTGATGATGAGAAGATTCAAAAATAATTTGTAAAGATATGGCTTAGTTGATTTCTATTTTTTAACATAACTATGAACATAAGATGGATTCATTGTAATTTAATCGAAATAAAGTATTTTTCAGAAGATTTTGAATTTGCCCGGAAAAACGCATGTCATAATTTTTTGAGACCCTAATTCATATCGTTTACTTTCAAAATAAAAAAATAATTGGACTTGAATATTTGA